TACTTTCTTTCTACATGTACTAAATGCCTTGTCAGAGACTCAGCTGGATTCATGAAGATGTGGGCCTCATTTGCACCAGTACAGATGTGGTCTGGATTTTCAATCTAGATGAGGAAAAATGCCTGGTAATGCAATACATAAATACACCCAAAATGCATTGGAGCTGAAATATACTGCTCAAAAAAATAAAGGGAACACAACATAGTTGAATGTCTTATTTTTGTGTTCCCTTTATTTTTTGAGCAGTGTATAATATGAATGTTCACACACCGTGTTCACATTCAGAATCTGAATCACCAGAACAGTCATTTTATTGCCAAGCAGTCTCGGTGGTTTGGTCTGTAATGGCCATACTCTAACATACAAAGTAAGACAAAGTCATTTCCTTAGAAAATCAATAGTCCATCAAGTTGCCTAGTAAAAGCCAAAAGTGGCAGCAGTAGCTATGAAGTCTTCCCTCACAAAAAGTGGTTTAAATATTAAAATCATAACCCTCAGTGACACTGCTTCCCTTGGCCTGACATGTCTTGTTTATTAGGGCAAGTCCCCAGCCCTGCCTATGCAATCTAATTACACTGTGGTCACAACTGAGATAATAAAAACACCTATTAATAACAGGTATAAATGTAAGGGAGCAGATGTCACTATCCAGACGCAGACCATATGTTAATAGGTGCAAATGTGATATGAATTGACTAGTATCTGTGGGAATTCAACACCAGTTCCATCTTGAGAAAATGAAATGAAAATACACTGTTAGCAAGTGTTAAGGGTGGAATTTTCCTTTAAATGGGTCCTACTGAGTGTGCATGCTTCAGGTCCAGCCCAGCACTAATTCTACCAAACCAGCACAAACAAAAGTCTGTAAACATGACACAAACTTGAGACTAATTGTTTTAAAAAGGTCTGTTCTCTGCAGTAACACTTACTGTACACAAAATATCATAAAGTATAAGGCTCAATGAAACACAATGCGGCTATTAGACTGTCTATGAGACACTGTATAAATGTGCCACAACAAGCAGGATGAATGGCAGCTTATAAGAATACTATTCTGCAATCCCACTGGATGAGGACAGTCACCCACAGTCAGTTTAGCTGCTTCTTTATGTGGAGTTTCCATGGAGAGAACTTCAAGTATAGAGCACAGAAGCTAACATTAATACTGACAAATCAGCGTATCAGCTGCAGTTACATAACCAGTCAGCTTGTAGACTGATGTGACATGAGGCCACAGACGCGTCTCCTCAGGAAGCTGTCATGTTGTACACTGTGGCTGCTGATACTGAGATGTGAATCAAGTTGTCTCCGCTTCTCTCTTTTCACACAATCCTTCACTATCTGCACTGATGCAAAACTTTCTCAGCACTGATGGATCGAACGTCAGCTGCAGTTTCCAGAATAAGGAGATGAGAGCAACTTAAGTGTGTGTGTGTGTGTGTGTGTGCATGAAGAAATAGAGTGTTTCACACGTCAGACATGGGTCTCGATGTAGGAGTGAGTGTGAGCAAGTGAGGGGGTCAGTGGCGGGCCAGGGTCTGATTCAGCAGCTGAGTCTGGCTCCTGAGAGAACATCTCCTGATAGGCTCTCTTCCACTCCTGGAACTCAGCCGACGACAGCTGGGGATTGGCCAAGAGCCTGTCAATCAGCGCTAGCTCCCCCTCCCTGTCCTATAGGGATGCAGAAAGACAGGAGGGGTGGGTCACTTTTTTAGCTTTGTTTAACCACTGTTCTTTAAAACGCAGACACAGGACAAGCAAGACACACACTTAAGGGGATTCACTGACTTCTAGGAGAGTTGGTTATTAGGTAATGACAATACAGACACCAAGATCATCCATGATTTGTGTCTTTAAAAGTTAGATATATGTTTTATTATGGCTTTGCTAATGCATGATTCCAATACTGTATACACTGATTATAATCCAATAAAGACATATTGGGATTGCCAGGTTGTGAAACAATACATTTGACTGCAGGTTATTTTCTTTTATTAGGAAGTCACAGGAACAACTGCAGAGCATCTGGAAACCACCAAGTTATTTATTAATCACATTTATAACTGATGTAGTGTATTATTACTCACTGGCAATGTGTAGCTTATCATATACATTTGTAGGTTGCTGATTAGATATACAGATATTATAGAGGTATATAAAGTTGTACTGAACTGAACAGAAGAATTGAACGACTAGTTTTTCCCGTTGGCTTTTTTATGTGAAAAACCCATAACTTTATCAACATTTGTGTTTGCAGAACCGTCACATTATTAGGGGCTGAGAAACTCACATTTTATTAATCACATTTTATAAATTTTATTCAGAACTGTTATTGAGAACCAGATATCTCCAAATTTGATGATTTTGAACTTCTCAATCTTGTTTACAAGAAATTATTCCAACTTAATACACTATTAACAAACCCACTATCTGATAGACAAAGTATCATGAAGCTGAAAAAAAGGTCTATTTTCTTAGATAATGTAAAGCTGACAGTTTAGAATGTTTTTAGCCAGCTGACAGTAATTGCAGCCTTGATGGTTCAAATTATTTTTATTTATGGCTCATCTATAATGTGGCTAATTAACCTGATAACGTTAAAAATTATGATTTTTATTCTGACCTGCTTTGCTTACTTGTATACAAAATAAATATTGATAGGGCATTGTGAATAACTAAAATTAATATCTGAAACACTAAAAATAAAATTTTGTCCATTAATAACACTGATTTTGTCATTTTAAAAAACCAACATTTAAAAAAACCATTAACTTTGGATTAATGAAAGGTCAACTGTTCCCTATCATTCCGCATGTTTAGACTGACCCAAGTCCTTTTTATTGTACTGCTATAACAGAAAAATTCTGCTTTAGGTATGAGGAGTTAAATTACACATTTCCACTTGTCACAGAGTGCAGCTTGTCATTTTGGTTAAGTTTTGATCAAAAGATACAGATTAAATATGCATGCCTTTTTTGTTTCCACAGCAACCGGTGCACAAGTTATTGCTGCTTCAACGCACAAATACAATCTGATCCCTCGTAAACAGCAATTAAAATTAGGGTGTACCAGGGTCACATGGATGACTTGGTGTATGCTCCCGTTATTTGACCGAGAAATATTTCATCCAAACTCCCCCAGAAACTTAGTGTATTCCTTTAAGAGACGTCAGACAGGGAACAAACATGTATGCTTCTCCACCCAACCTGTACCAGCAGACATGGGCAGCCAAAGCCACAGATCCCGGCAAAAAGCTACTGCAGCTACACGCACAGGCAACAACGCCCCCCGTGCCCACACCAAACCATCCCCACCCACGTGCATGGAGGAAGCAACAAAGATACAAACTCTAGAGACATAAACAATAGCCACTGCAAACGAACTATTCCCAGGCACCCAGCCCAGGAACATAACCACTGCTCATGCAGAACACAGCCACAGATGGCTCCATGAGAGAGCTCCACAAGGCTCAAACCAAACCGAGGTAACAGACTGGAACAGATGCTGGCACTAAACCTAACCAGACATTTTCCGGCATGTGTGTATATACTATGTAAGCATAAGTGCTTATGTGCATTATCAGGGTCAGAAATTAACAGTGCACCATGTTATGAGTTTCACCCTGCTCACATTTAATATGATGACGTGCATCCATGTGTGAATGTGATTAGTCTAACCCAGTGGGCCAGTAAAAATAAACTATGACATAGGTAATTATTTCTGTATACCCCAAATGAAAAAAAGAGTAGAGTACATAGTGTTGATTAAAAAAATAAGAGAGCTTTCAAGAAGTAGAAATTGTTAGCACCTTCTAGTGAGACGCATCAGATCTGTTCACACTTCCAACACTGCATCAGATCTGTATTATGGAAAATGTAATGGGTTTTACTCATCAGTCTGTTCACGGGCTTTGCAAAGTTGTTTAAAGCCTTTTGTGGCTGCAGAGAAAGTCACACAAAATCTGATAAAGTCATGTCATTTGAGTCTGGGTCGGTTTGTTCTGAAGATCACAAGTATGAAAATGAAAAACAAATCTGTGTGCAATCAGAAAGAGGTGCTCCTCATCTCTGCTGAGGCTCAAGGCCACATTAGCTGCTACTAGCTTAACACAATGATCTCAGACAGAGCTGTTGGTGGTCGAGTGGCATTGTGGGTAATGCAGGAACAAAGTTTTGACAAAGAACTGTGAAATAAAGAAAACAATATGGGTTCTTGAGTCTGAGTGTTAGAGGAGTGCAATGCCACTGTATATCTGAGCACTCTTAAGTTGATGTAAACAAGCTGAACATTTCTTACTGCTTTTACAGTAGCTCGCATTAAAAGTGTTTAGGTGGCAGAACACAAGAGGTCTTTTATTGTGAAGCAGTCACAGGAAACAAGTGGCACCAAGTTTGGCACTGAAATCAGCAGTTCAACAAAAATGCATCCACCAAAGAAACATTCAGGGCTTTTTGTTTTTAGACGGCAGATCAGTTTTAAATACTGTGGGGAGTAATGATGGAGCTGTGGGATGAAAAACTATTGTTACCATGTGCAGCATAAAATCAGATTGTGGTTGCAATGTTTTTTGAATCACATCTTCACAAAAATGTTTTTTTTTGTTTACTCTCAGTTGCTCAAGAGTGTTTACACTTGGTAACCAAAGGACAGAAATCTTAAGGACTATACCTGCAATATAAAACAAATCTTACTTTAAAAATGTATATTTGCAATAAACAATTTTCATTTGTACTGAAAATATCTGAAAAACAGACATTTTTACCCTGGCATACCAGAGTAAGTCAGCACCGTATTCATGCATATACAATATACCTGTGTATGCTTTTGTATGCCTATAGTATGTATGTTCCTGGCGCACATGTCTGTGTGTGGATAGGAGTGTGAACTGGCCACAGACTGTTGGACCAACCTTCAACGTGGAAGTCAGTATGCGGAGGCGATGCAGACGCTCGTTGAGTTGAGGGTCGGCAGCCCGTCTGAGAAATGAGTGCCTGAACTCTGATTGATCTTTGGCATCTGATCCGCGACCTAGAGGACACACCCCGCCCTGCTCGCATGCACGGAACAGATCACCCAGGGACGCACCTTCACTCCCACCTTGAACACAGAAACAGACAGAAGGAAAAGGTCACAGATTCAAATTAATGGCTAAAGAGCTGCCAAAACTCTGATTTGATTGAGTTATAGCTCAGACCATCCACTGGAGGACAGCAGTACACACTTCTGTACTTGTACTATACAGTATAATAACTTGTATCCTTGTGTCCTCTCTTTCCTTTCCGCCTCAGTGATCCTGTTCACTTTGGCAGTTTAATTTTCGTCTGCTTCACTAATTCACTACTTCACTGTTCATATCTCTGCAAAACATTTGCTCTTCTGTTCTCTGACAAATCTATCATCACATAAACAGATCATCTGATTACATTACTGTGTTAGTCTGGCACATTCCTTCCTGAACACCACTGTGCTCAACTTGGCAATAAGTGCACCACTGTCTCATTAGCCTCATTAGATTCATTGCACAACTAGGGTGTGTGTGTGTTACCTCACTTCATACTAAGGATGATTTAAATGTGTCTGCCTCAGAGCGTTTTCATTTCTGGTGCATGTACTGACGTCAGTGCCTTCACTTTAAAATCCTTTTAATCTCTGGTGGCTCTGTCAGTCAGAGCGAGACACATTTCTGCTTTTACCTGACATCCACCAGCTCACGCACTACAACACTAAATGTGTTTTCTTTGTGCTCTCTCTTCTGTTGTATGTCAGGTGCTTCTCACTACATTTATGTTCCTGACCCAACTCACCACCATGTGCTTGATGTTCTTCTCTCGCAGGGGGCGCGAGTAGTGTGTGTAGGTTGCTGTCTCGTGGCAGTGTGAAGCTGCGGGGTTTCCCTCCCTGGGTTGCCATAGGAATCAGCCTCTGCATCGCCATGGGCAACGGGACATTCCTCTGTGCAGGAAGAGTGTAAACGGCTCCAGCCATCATAGCCCCACCTCCCAGACCAGGCTCTGCGAAAACGGCGTCCTCTGTTATGTAAACAGAAGAAGGGATAAAATAAAAAACATTTTCAGTGTGCACTGAAATAGTAAAAAACTAAAGAACAATTGCTTCTATCCGATCATAAACTATACAGACTGCATCCAATTTATGTACAAACAAAACTGATGTTTAAGCCACAAATATATTGAAGCAAAAAAAGACTAGACAATATGTAATTTCCAGTCTAATTATCTCCAACATGTAGTTTAGTGCTTGGTTTAGAAAGTCCTTCCTTATTATCCATACAATACACATCACATTTAATTAGTACAGTGATTTAGTATTGCAATTCCCTAAAACTGGGGAACCCATGAGAAACAGACTAATTAAAAAAACAGGCCAAGACTTGAAGCATCCAAAATGTTGTTTACTATAAGGAGCGCCAGAGCAACTCAGCAGGGTGAGTTTGGCCAGGACAGCAGTACTTTTGCTTTATGGTTATTTAGTTGAACATTTTCTGTCTTTTATTGTTTATCCTGATTTGCATTTATTTTGATTGTTGAGACTGGAATTATGTAGCTCCCAGTCGGCCCCTGACCTCGGCAGATCCCCTCCTAAACAGCTCTCAGACATTGAGGAGGAAGTGTTTTTATTAGGGAAGGAGGGAAATAGTGACCTGTCCTTCTTATATTATCTTATACTGCACATAAGTATGAATTTGAGCATCATTAACTAAAACGCTTGGTTGAATCCAGGAGGTTTCTGGTCTATAGTGTTACCTAGTGGTCCAGTTTGTAGGTAGTGCAGGCCAGCCTCAGTCAATGGTGTCTCAATCAGGTCCTGCCAAGAACGTCTCTGAGATGAGGATGAGCGACCTGGGGAGCCTGTTTCACTGCTGCCACCTGCAGGACTGGAGCGATACTACAAGAAACCATAACGGAGACAGACGACAAGATTATTTCCTCAGCCAAGGTGTTTGTTGTTTTGTTTGTTAGTTGGTTTGTTCACAGCAAAATTCATAAAGTTATGAAAACATTTTGGATTTTTTGGAGATGTAGGGTATGGCCCACTGAACAACCCATTACACACACCTCAACTGCGTCACATCTGTACTGCACATCGCTGCTGCTGCTGCCCCCCGGCTTTCTCCCGCTGTGTGTGGTGCCTCCCAATAGAGGACCAGGTTGGTACTGTGGCTCTGCGGCCACTGCTGGGGGATCACCACACAGGAAGTCCTCCTGGGAAGAGCGAGAACGAGACGTCTCCGTGGAAGACAGCCGAGTGGTTCGGCCCTCCAAGTAGGCACTCATCTGACAGAAGAAAGAAAAACATAGCAAACATCAACTGAGTGACTGGTCTCATTCAGTTATGATGACACACTTCACAAAAGGTGTCCATCCATCAAGCGAGCCAGATGACTG